CGTAAACAATCACAAAACTTCTCCACGCCGAAAATGTTGTGCAAAATCGCGTCGTCGTCAATGGGTTAAAACACCTTTCTCACATGTTTCGAGTGGAGTTTATGTACCTAACTTTTCTGCGAGTACGTGTTTTTGCTCCGCTTTTACGTTCACTGATTCCTTGTTCAGCCCAATATCGCCTTCCTTTGATGTCTGACGATAGGAAAAAGTGGAGAACGGGACAGGTGTTCAACGTTTCTTCTTTCGGCGGACTTTAATGTTGTTTGCAAAGAAAATGCTCAATCAGTGGTTCCTCCGCATTTCCATGAATTTAATGGAATGCTTTCTTCCAGTGTTTGTGCGCCGATCAGATCCTTTGTGTTTTGGTATCTATATAAGAAGCGAAGTCCAGATTTGGAGGCTTGCGGAGTACCTCAATAGAATAACGCCTTTACCTGCTCGCTTGAGATGAAACAAAATGCTTTTGACTCATAGGAGAGATACTGCAGTCCAGTCAAAGTAGTATTTCTCTGCTGTTACATGGCGTTTGAGGGTAATTTTGCAGTTTTTTGTTATGACGATTATTCCACAGCTTGGTGGTTTTTCACATAACTACACGTCTCCCATTTTTTTCTGTTCACTTCTCCGATTTCCCAATGTTGCATGTTTTTGTGGTTCCTCATGCTGTTGCTAGGCAACTTTGGCGGTTCCTTGGCGATTACATTTTCGACTTTCAGCTACCCTACCTATGGAGCCTATGGGGCTACCGCATTCTTGTTGGCCGTCTACTTCTGTGACTGGAAGACGGTTGGACAATATATCCCGCTCTGGAACAAGCGCTTTAGAATAAACGACAACGAATGAAATCTTTGCTGTAACTATTTCCTAGTGCTTTGAGTGTTACCTCAGCCTTTGGTGTATACCTCGTGTATTTGGTTATTTCGTAGTATGTTGCATCAGTTTGGTTGAGATCTTGTCAATTCTGTAGTAGTGTAGAAAGGCGATAAATTTTGACCATGCTATGTTTTCAAGCATATTTCGATGATGTCCATTAGAGCATGCAAGTTTTTCCAATCATCATTATTGAGGGTAGAGTCAGCCACGGCTGTTTTCAACATTATCGTTGCCTATCCTTAAATCCTATGTATACTTCAAATGGGTGCGTTTGAAAGTGTCCACCTTCTTATACGGTTTGTCGGAAAGGATCTGTACTCTGCGCAGACAATAAAGCAGTGGGCTTGAATGTGCATTTTAGAGGTAGTGTCCAGGCAAAATTTCATTTTCCAGCTTTTCACCTTTTCGGAGGCTTCTCGCCATGACAAATCCTTATCTGGGCGTTCAGTGCATAAAAATGGCGGAAATGAGCTTTCCTCGAAGTTTTCCAGGTCCGCATTAGTGAAAAATAGTAAGTGGACGGAGTCCGAAACGAGGAAGGTGGGGCGTGGAAGACTCCAGCGTACTTTGATTGAATCCAGACCTGAAGAGCATAGAAAAGGCTCATTTTCGTCATATGAATTTCTCATAGCTAGAAAGCCCCGAAAAAATGGAAAACTCGAACAAGAAATTCCCGGGACGCTGCCTTTAAGCTAGCTAATCTCATTTTTATTGTAGGAAATTCATTGCACGTGTAATGGACATTGTTTCCATCAAGATAGTTTGTGTTTGGTAAAGGTAGCAGATGAAGAAAAGAGAAAGAGCGCTTGATCTGAGAGATGCTGACTGATGAGTCCGCAGCGCGCCCTGTCTCTGCGTGCGCTGAATCACCCATAGGCGTAGTTTCTATGCTGATATGGCCACACGGCTTTTTCGTCGCTTCCAGCGAGTGTGCTTTCCGAAGTAAACATAGGATTTGTTGGCTCAAAAGTTTGATGAATTTTATACATAGAATCTCAGATTTTCTTTTTTTATAGCAAAATTTGAGGCGGCATATTATTGAAAATCGCTGATCAGCTCCATTCACGCAACAG